GTGAGATTTGACATCACCGCCGTCTAGCATCTAGACACGCCCGTTCTTGTAGTGAGAGCACCCGACATATGATTCCCCGCCGATTCACACTCAAAGCATGCTTTCGAGCAGTGTCAACAAACTTTGTCACTTCTTGTATGAAAGGGTGTGATATCCTCGATATCTGGTACATCCATTCTGGCTTTTCCATGATGACGGTTAACCTTGTACATAGCAGAAAAATATTATATTAAGAGCCTCTTTGGCAGGGCTCCTGCAGGGGCTTCAACTCCGTCTCCTGCAGGAGCTGTGCCAAACACTTGTTTTGGAAAGGGCTCCGCATGGGGAGCCGGTCAAGAGCCGAAGCCATTTTTTGCCTGCATAGGAGAAGCCTAAAAAATGAGCTTCGCGTGGCTCCTTGCTGTGGGTTCACGTCATCTAGTGCGAAGGAGCCGTTTTGCCAAACGTTTTCCAGAACGGCTTCAGCTCCTCCAGAGGAGCTGCTCCTTCAGAGGAGCCAGAGCCGGAGCCATTTTCAGAGGAGCCAGAGCCCTGCCAAACAGGGCCTAAGATGCATGAAAATGAGATGGTGCATGCATGTATATATATCTTCTCTTTTAGGAAATAAACTGCATCTAAATGTATAGAGCTTCATCACAATCTTTGAATGCAACCATCTATAATTAAAATTGCATATTATACATACAACTAATATTAATTAAAATCTATAATTGACTTATGTACACTGGATTTCATCGTATATTACATACAACTAACATTAATTAAAATCTATAATTAACACACACAAAACACACTTGAAGACATAATTAACTTGCATTATGTATGTAAAGAGCTTGTCTTCTTGGTCACACACAAACATAAATATAGAAGCATTACAAACAAAACCATAAAAATAAAGAACAAAATCTAGTTTCTCTCTCCTCCACCATAGATCTAGACTAGATCACAAAAAACTTGAAAAAGAGCGTAAAAAGGATGTGAGAGCGCATACCACCCTCCTACGGTCTCCTCCTTGAAGAATCCAAGAGCAAAACTCCCCTCTCCGCCTAAAAAGTGGTGTTTTCAGAGTTCTAGAACTCAAACCCAGTCCAAATTAATGAGAAGGCTCGTGGAGAAAGAAGCTCCGTTAATGGTCTATTAATGGAAGCGGCTGTCTAACGACGTCCGTCTCGATTAATAGATTAACAGAGGCGGTTGTCTTACAACGTCCGTCTCCGTTCATAAACCATTAATTAAGGCGGTCCGCTTAAGTCGTCCGTCTCTGTTAAACATTATCGGAGGCGGTCGCTTATCCCTGGATGGGCAAGCACTAATGGAGGCGACACTCTAGTGTGTCCATCTCCGTTAATTCTTGGGCACTGTCTCGCAAATTTTTTTATGCAGTAGTGATTGTTTTGACAAAAGCCGTAGCACAATTGAGACCGGTATGTAACTCCGTATTAGTACTTTGAATTCATATACGGTGTTTATCTTCATTCACGCTCTGGGCCAGTAAAAATAAAAACAATAGCGAAGGCCGGTAACCTCGAACAAGGGCACCGCGCGTGTGTTTGTAGTGCAACTAGAATTTCGCTTCCAAGTCGAGATGGCCGACAAAGAAAAATTGGTCTATCGCAAAAAGACGAGAATGAGACAGGGAAAGTGGACATCGTGTCTTTAGGAATAAATAAAGATAAAATAAAGTGTAGGAGACTTCGTGGAAAAGGAATCCCACTATTTGCGCCACCACGAGCTACGAATTGATGCGACATTCCTCCCTCACAGTGAACGCACCTAGGTTAAGTCCTTGGAGAATATAGCCCAATGAGTTTTGAATTTTAACAAGTTAGAACACACAGGCAACGAAAAACAATATCTGTAAACAAAAACAAAATATAACGTTTGTATAGTGCTTATATAAAAATGGTGAGCAGATAGTGTAGATAAGAATACAACTTTAATTTTGGGAAGTGAATATTGTTAACTAGGGTTTTGGGAGCTCAAAAATCGAATCCGAAATTTAAACTAGAACTTTTCGTTGAATCGACAAGAAATTAAACTTAGGTTACGAACGTCATTTTTGGTGAATTATATTGAACAAAATAGTTAAAATGTGCTTAAATGTTTTGCTCCTATGGATTAGTATGTAGTATGGGCTATTGAGTGAAAATATTCATTGGTTGAAATTAATAAGGTTTAGACATATTAAAAATTGCAACAAAAGTGCTAATGATTGTTAGTTCTAACTGAACCTGCTCTCTTCTAAGTCTGGAAATGATAGCAGACAATGCCGTTTTGACACTCAAATTCTAACCAGATTGTTTAAACACTAACTTCTTGTTCTCGTACTGTTGGCAGCCTCTAAGTGAGTACTTGAGCATGGCTTACGTGGTAGTGGTGTTGGGTGTCACGATACCCTCGCAAAAATTGCCCGAACCTTGTTAAAACGTGTCAAAGTCGTGTCGTTGGCGCTCTATTCGTGAACTGATGTTTAGAGCGACGAGCTCACATTGGCATCCATCTACCTCCATCCCTGGTGGTCCTCTGGTCATGGTGATGGCATTGATAGGTCGTTGGCAATATGGACTTTACGATATGGGAGTTAGTTGAACATCAACTGTGATCGTTAGTGACTTTTGCTACGCTTTGAAATATGTGCACGACACCTAGGGCAGCCATTCGGACTGGGTTCGCGGTCACCGCGAGCACAGCGTGGTGGTGCCGGGGCCACGTCGCGACCAAGCCATGGTCACCGCCCCGCGCGTGCGCTAGGCCTGTGTTGCGCTACACCCAGGTCTTGCGTGGCCCGACCCGGCTAGTAGTGGTCTGGTCACCCGGCTGCGTTGTGCGCACGCCAACGCCAGCCACCAAGCCGTGCGTGGGGTCGTGGCGGAGCTACGGCTATCACCGCCTTGCCTTCGTGGCGCTCGCCCCACCTTTCATCCTACCTACCGCGTCGAGTCTCTGGACGTGTGCCGCTGCCGCCGCACCTAGGTCAACGACCCCAGTCACTATGGTGACGAGATGTTTCCCTGCCTTGCCCGCTAGCCAACGCTGATGAGCCCCGCTTGGGTCTTGCCGCTACATTCAAACGCGTCGCGCCAAGCCCATGAACTGTCACCTGTGCGCACATGTTCGAGCTACCGCCATCAAATGGAGCCGCCCCGTCTTAATTCGCTCGCCCACGCTCGGGTGCACTCTCCACGGCATGACCATGGCTAAAGCTTCGCCTTTCCGCCCTCCAATTCGCCTAGCTCAGGGCTTCAGAGTTTGATTCCTTGTACCAGTAGGTGGCATAAGAAGGCAACTAGGCGTCCCATCTTCCCCATGCCCGGTCAAGCACTACCGACCACCAATTTAGCATTTTGCTCGTCGCCGGCCATGGGCGCCGCCGTAGCCAGTGGATCGGGGGTAAGTCCCAATCCGTGGGGAAAGAACCCAATTGGTGGCGTTTCTGGACTCGTGTTGATCCACTATAGCTGGTGCTCGTGACAGGTTGGCTTGGTTTCTCGTCGTGGGTGCGGTGACACGATAGTGCCGCACTCGGAGAGCCGCCGCCCGCTCGGTCGGCCGTGGCCAGACCACCCCAGTGCTCCCCTGTTTGAACCATCATTGGAGCGTGCACCACGGTGAGCTATTGATGCTTCTCCGCCACCTCTACCCTTTCAAGAGTGCGTAGGTTCGTCGGAATAGGCACGCCGCCGCCGCGGCTAGCCACTCCCGGCAGTACGCTGCTGAGTTCCCAACCGCCATCATCCATGCTTGCGGGGTTAGCCATAGATGGTGGTCGGCCCTTTATTCCTGTCAGTGGGTCTAGCTCGCCCGACGTAACCGCCGTTGCCACCGGTGTGCCACGCCGTTACGCCGGGCCGCCCCATTGCGAAGGTACCATGTTCCAAGGTCCTTAATGTAAAACACGTCTCTCGTGCAATAGTGATCAGAGGTGCCGCGTAATAACCGGTTAGTCTGGGGGTTCTTTTTCAAAACGTGAGCGCGCGTGGGCCTTCCGGTCTTGGGCCACACTGGGCCGTCGCGACGCGCGCGTGGCCGCACCCGCGCTGGGCTGCTGGGCCGATTAAGTCACCACCGGTCCTTTTCTTTTCTAAAGCATTTTCTAAATTAGTTTCTAAAACTAAACTTGTAAATTCAATAAAAAATTGTGTAGTTGACAAAAAATTGTGAGACCAATTTTGTTTAGTTCCTAAAATCATGATGTACCTGTTAGTGTATTTTGTTCATATAGTTTCATAGAAATTTCAAGAGTAATCTAATTAATTGGAAGCACTTAATATTGTTAAAACATCAACTTGTAGGAATTATTGTGAGGGATTGGTTGTAGTGTTGGCTCTGGAATTTTTATAGAAAATTCCTAACATTATTAGATGCTCACTGTAATTTTTGTAATTCCATAATAATTAATTTGCTAAGGTAGCTAAATGAGCCCTAGTTCGAATATATAAATTTAATCAATAAGAAGCCAAAACACCTTGGGATTGTAGGACTAAAACATTTTTTCCGGAAACAAAGCCTTACCTGACGACGTGGATACATAGCCTAGTACGCTAGTCGTTAGAGCTAGCTCATTAACTTGCGAGGCGTAATCATGTTCTTAGAGTTGTGGTTGCCGTGGGTTAATTACGTTTTCTACGTTGTATTTACGTATATTATAATAGGAACAACGTGGATCGTGGAGTCGACCGGAGTAGTAGAAAAGATAGTGCCTTGATGATCGTAGTTTAGTGTCCTCGCTTGGGTACTAGAAGACAAGTACTCTTGAGAGGCTATTTTCTCTTGCACTGATCTCTTGCGCCGTTGCCCAGCTGTGCTCCCTGCTGCTTGGCCTCCGCGGTCGACAATTATTTGGACGACGATGCGGGGACACCTTGACTTGACTTGGCTAGCTCATCTGTCTGAGAGTGAGGCACGGCCAACCCGCGTTGCTTGCATTTCACCACCACACCACCCCACGCAAGGTAGCTAGCATTTCACTGAGAGCGAGTGCTCTGCCTCTGTGAGTCCAGATGGCCAAAGTGATGGCGAACGCCGCCACGAGCGTGTTGGGCTCCGTCATCGGCAAGCTGGCCGCCATGCTCACCAAGAAGTACAAGCTCGCCAAAAAAGTCGAGAGCGGGATCTGCTTCCTGCGAGACGAGTTGAGCACCATGGATGCCGTTCTGCGGATGCTCGCCGAGAAGGACGACGACCAGATCGATCCACGCGCCAAGGACTGGAGGAGCAAGGTACGTGAGCTGTCCTACGACATCGAGGATTGCATCGACCGTTTCATGCTCAATCACAGCCATAGAGGCTCCAAGGCGAGCTTTGTGCGCAAGAAAATGCAAAAGCTGAAGAGGTTGTTCAAAGACGAAGAAATAGCAGAGGAGATCCGAGAACTCAAGAGCCTTGTGAGCGAGCAGAGCGAGCGGGGCAAACGCTACTACGACATCAATCAGTGTCTCCTTGCCTCGTCATCTCAACCAGTGCTCTTGGATCCTCGAGTACCTGCACTATTTCAGGAGACCAGGGATCTTGTTGGAATCGATGCGCCTCGTGAGGAGATCATCAGCTTATTGAGATGTGAAGACAAGGAGCACAAGGTGGTGTCCATCTATGGGATTGGTGGACAGGGGAAGACCACTCTCGCCATGGAGGTGTACCACAAAATCACTGAAGCTGCTTTTGATAGCCGGGCTTTTGTGTCTGTATCACAAACTCCAGATATGAAGAAACTTCTTAGAGATATATTGTCTCAAATAAGCAAGAGCCATTTTGACCAGTCACAGATGTTAGAGACAGTTGAGCAGCTCATCCGCACAGTGAAAGAATGCTTAAAGGACAAGAGGTAATCAATATTATTTCTTTTTCTAATAGTTAACCAGTTCATCTAGCTAGAATAATGTCGTGCAATATTTGTTCATCACATGAGCTCACCTATTTATTAGGCCATTTATGAAAATTTCTGGGAATTTAAAAAAAATGATTCATTTTTTCCTGGCCTAATGAACTTGACATCATTAAACTACCTCAGATACTTCAATGGCTCAGCATATCTATCAAATGTCATCATTAAAGATGTTACAACAATGAACAAACTCAAGTCAACTGTGCATCATTTTGGTAAAAAATTTACTTTACTCCATCTAATCCATATTCAGTAAAATTACTTCTTGGAAAATATGACCAGAATTCTAAATATCCATAAAAATCTCATTTTGGAACTCAGTTTTTGAACTGAATGTGTCATGTCTTTTGAGTGGGTCTCTAGGTGTTCTAATGTGGCACTAACTATTTTGGAAGTTGTAACATATTTATTAAATATTAGGAGTTTACGGTCTGTATTTCTCATGTGTAATACAGACATACAGTAATACTTACTGATAGAAAAGTGTGCCACGACGATCCATCTTCTTGTTACATTTCTCCGATTTCTTTAATTTCACCAGAATATGCTCAAATTCTTGGTGGCCTTACATAATAACATGATTCCGTAACTAATGCATGCAGGTACTTCATCTTGATTGATGATATCTAGAGTGAATCAGCATGGGACCTTGTACGATCTGCCTTACCTGTCAATGACAATGGAAGCAGAATTATTACTACAACACGCAGTAAAGCAGTAGCCAACAAATGCTGTACTGGTATTGCCGCACAAATGTATGAAGCCAAGCCACTTAGTGATGAGGACTCTCAGAGATTATTCTTTACGAGGCTATTTTTCTCCGGTGATGATTGTCACCCAGATTTGAGAAAAGTATCCGATGATATTTTGAAGAAATGTTGTGGCTTACCATTAGCCATAATCAGTATAGCTAGTTTATTAGCAAACAGAAGCAAAACAGTGGAAGTCTGGGTCAATGTATTGAGATCTATTGCTGCTGCAGTTGACAAAGATTCTCCCATTGAAAAGATGAAAATAATTTTGCTGCTCAGTTACTTTGACCTTCCTCACCATCTAAAGAGCTGTTTGTTATATCTGAGTGTGTTTCCAGAGGATTATTCCATTGATTGCCACCAGTTGATATTGCTGTGGGTTGCCGAAGGACTGATTCCTGGGCAAGACACGGAAAGTATGGAGCAGCTAGGGAGAAGTTACTTGAATGAGCTCATCAATAGAAGCTTGGTCGAGCCAACCAAGGTTGGGGTAGATGGCACAACCGTGAAACAGTGCAGAGTCCATGATGTCATACTTGAGTTCATTGTGTCAAAGGCTGTGGAGGACAACTTTGTTACTATATGGAATGGTAATGATTCTTCTGACACGATTCGTCGTTTATCCATCCAGAAAGACGTTTCAGCCCGGGCGGAAGAGATTGCCAAGACAATAAAAAATGCAGCACATATTCGATCAATTAGTATCTTTGGCCCAAATTTAGTTCTGGTTAATAAGCACGCCAACAGCCAAGTCTTGCGAGTGCTAAATATAGAAGGTGTGGTTGGTGAATGCCCTCTGGGACATGTCAAAAGTTTAGGTCAGTTGAAGTACTTGAGGATACACAATTATGCTTCGGTTGGCAAGCTTCCACAAGATATAGAAAAGCTGCAACATCTGGAGACACTAGATGTGAGATGGCAATGTCTTGAAAACCTACCAGCAAGTATTATCCAGTTGCAGAAGCTAGTGCGTCTTCATGTCCATCGGTCGGTGCGCCTACCCGATGGAATCAGAAATCTGCAGGCGTTGGAAGAGCTATCATGGATCGATTTGGGTATTCAATCTGTAAAGTTTATCCAAGGTCTCAGTGATCTGACCAATATGAGAGTACTTGAAATTGATTGGCCGTACTTTACTGAATTTCGTGATATGGAGGGCCACAAGAAAGCATGTATCTCATTGCTTTCCAAGCTGTTCACGCGCCTGCGAGAACTGCACGTGTGGGGGTGTGATGCTGATGCCACACGTCCATTCATGTCTTCGTGTGTCCCTACTTCACCACCACTTCGAAAGCTTGTTCTTAATACACGTGACTTAAATTGCATGGGCCCTCAAATCAGCTCACTAGTCAACCTGACCCACCTCCGCATTTTTGTCCGTGGTGAAGCAGGCAAGGAAGGAATAAATATCCTAGCAAGTTTACCAATGCTCCTCTCTCTTAAAGTTGGCTTATTCAATGACAAAGACGGAGATTCAGGCATTGTCTACCCAAGGAACGCAATCAACCCACAAGGATTTCAGCGTTTGCTCAAGTTTCATTTCCGATGTTATTGGTGTGACGCGGCATTGGAGTTTGAGCCGGGAGCCATGCCAAGCCCTCGTTTAGTTCGTGAAATTTGGATTTTGGGGTTACTGTAGCACCTTCGTTTTTATTTGGCAAATAGTGTTCAAACATTGACTAATTAGGCTTAAAACGTTCGTCTCGCAATTTCCCACCAAACTGTGCAATTAGTTTTTCTTTTCGTCTACATTTAATGCTCCATGCACAGACCGTAAACATTCGATGTGACAAGTACTGTAGCAACTTTTTGGATTTTGGGATCCAACTAAACAAGGGCCAAAGCTCGAAAGGCTCAAACTGCACCTGATGGCACGGTGCCAGTTCAAGTGGGAAGGTGGCCTGGTCCTTGGTCTGCAGAATTTGGCAGGCCTCAAACATGTCGACGTCGATGTTGACTGCTCTGCTGCTGTTGCTGATGAGGTGGAGGCTCTGGAGAATGACATCAGGGACGCAGCAGGCGTCCATCCCAATAGTCCCATGCTCCAGGTAAGAAGACTTGATCAAGATATATAGTACTCTATATTTAGGGGGTGTTTGGTTCCACCTCTTAAACTTTAGTCGTTGTCTCATAAGATATTTGGACACATGCATGGAGTATTAAATATAGACTAATTACGAAACTAAATGCACAGATTGAAACTATTTCGCGAGATGAAATTTTTAAGCCTAATCAGTCCATGATTTGACAATGTGGTGCTACAGTAAACATATGCTAATGACGGATTAATTAGTCTTAATAAATTCATCTCGGGAATTACTTACCGATTCTGTAATTTATTTTTTTATTAGTATCCGAACGCCCATACGACACTTCCCAAACTTTAGTCACCGGATCAAACACCCACTTAGTCCCATGGCATAGGGGTGCAGCAGGCGTCCATCTGACCATCCCATCCCATACTAGAAGCCCGATGACCAAGTGAATGCTATTTCAAGTTGTTATCCACTTATCCTCATGCACTGCACTGCACCTCTGATTGTACTTATCTCAGTTCGTCAGGGGTACGGTGGCTTTTAGTTCTAATAATGCTTAGACGTTTGCAAGGATTTATCTTGTGTTTACTTGGTTTCTTTTTAGAAAAATCTGTTTTTTTCTTTTATGTGTTGAGATTATTCTTCGCATGGGTCATTATTGCATTTCTTTCTCATGGTAGATCACTAGTTGCTTTAAACTAGTAAAGCAAAATGCATCAGTGACCCTCAATTTGTCCCTCCTTGTATATGGTCTCTTAATTAATATATATAGAAAAACTTGCAAACAATGGCTTTGACCTTGATACGTGGGCCTTAAAGATATCTAGTCTAGATCTAAATAGTGTCACCTGAGAAATCTATGTACCATTGGTGGCCGTTAGCTGCAGAAATAAAGTCACTAGGGTCTGTGCTCATAGGTGTTACCGAACATTATATTTGGATCAAAGAGCCTTTTTTTCTGGCATGCGCTGCTTACAGGGAGGCAAAATGGTGGTCTGGTGAGAGAGCCACCAGACCGAAATTTTCACTTTGTATGAGCAGCCGCGTGGATCTTAAACAACGGTACTGGTTTGATTGATGCATTGGAATTTTAGCACAGAGGCCCACCTAGACAAGAAAAATGTACGCAAAAAATGTCAGCATTCAAGATGCTTCATTGGCTACATCTATTGGTTCTGCAGCAGGGAGGGGGAATATCGCGCCAACACAAGGCAAAGAGCCGATCGTAGGAAAGGGCCGAGCGCCAACTGAAGCTTTACCACGCGTACAAGCAAACGGGTTAAGCCCAACCCAAAACATGTAGGCGGCGACTAGGCCTAAAGCTTGGGCCGGCAAATAGAGGTATTTCAAGCGTGAGGTGTAAATAGTTTCAGAGAGAAGGGAGGTGTATATAGGACTGGGGAAAACCATATTAGGAGGACCTAGGCTCCATAACATGCAGAGCTGTCTGGTTGCCGGCGGCGATAAGGAGACGGGCTTGTAATCAGATATTGATTTTGCCTAATACCCATACTACCGTAGCCAGATCTTACAATGAACTTTTCATTATCCTATTCGTGGGCACCACACGTCCGCACAATCAACATCCCACGTGCCTTCATCGCTCTTAACTTTAATTACAATCGACATCCTATTGGGGACAGTAGCGGCAATGCGCAGCGAGCCCACCCGGAAGGCTCCGCCGCCTCCAGCTCCTTGACGTTGTCACCATCGCGAACCTTACAAGGCTTCAGGCTCTTGATCTCAGATTTAACCAGTTTTCTGGTCCCATCCCAGCAGAGCTACAAGGCCTGCGCGACCTTGACTCCATGAGTCTCCAAATGAATTACCTCAGTGGTTTCATACCGAACGACCTGTTCAATAGTACACCATTTTTAACTGAGCTGAACCTGGGCAATAACAGCCTGTCAGGAGTGATACCAGATTGCATCGGCTCCTTGCCCAAACTTGAGATCATAGTCCTGGAATTCAACAATCTTACCGGGCCGGTACCGCTAGCCATCTTCAACATGTCTACCTTGAGCGTTATCGTTGTATCCTCGTGTTAGTTGATCTCTACCAATAGACCCAATCCTTGGATCTACGCCCTGATCGGGGGCGTCCAACCCTAATATGGTTGGTGGGCCCCTGTCGCACAGCACTATAAAGATAGGTGGGGATCACGGCTCTAACTACGAGGTTGACCGGAGCCGCCGTCACCCACCAACAGAAAACCTAACCCAATCTAAAGAGAGTGCTGCCAACGACGAGAAGACTCACCGACTCCGCCGTCGCCTCTGCAGTGCCATCACCGGGACGCTGTACCTCGCGTCGCCGTAGGGACTGCGACTGCACTTCATCTCCAGTCGCTGTGGGCGCACTAGCTACCAAGGTACACCAACATATGTTTATTACCCGCTAGATCTACACCTAGAGTTTAGAACTTTATAACACCTCGAACCACTTGACTGGCCCTTTCCCGGGCAATGGAAGTTTCAGCCTCCCAGCTTTGCAATATATAGAGCTCTCTGATAATAGTTTCAGTGGTACCATTCCACAGGGGCTCTCGGCGTGTCGGCACCTCATAGAGCTTTCTCTACCCAAAAAATTCATTCGAGGGTGTTTTGCAGGCATGGCTAGGAAAGCTGACCAATCTCCGGTTCATTAACGTGGGCTGGAATGGCCTCACTGGTCCGATCCCTGCTCAACCCAGCAACCTCACTGGGCTAAATGTGATGGAAATCGCCTTCTGCAATCTGACAGGAATCCTTCCCGTAGAACTTGGACGGCTAGGCCAACTCTCCGAGTTGTATCTCTCGTGCAATCAATTAACTGGAACTGTTCCTGCTTTTCTTGGAAACCTATCTCAAATAGTATCGCTGTATTTGGATGGAAACCAGTTGTCTGGATCTGTACGAGCAGCAATTGGTAACCTGAACTTGTTGACGACACTTAATATTGGGGGAAACCGTCTTCAGGGTGATCTCCGTTTTCTTTATGTTATTTCCAACTGTAGAATGCTCTCAGATTTTGAAATCTATTCGAATTATTTCACTGGAAGCATTCGAGGTTATGTGAGCAACCTGTCAAGTCAGCTCCAAATATTTCTTGCTAATGACAACAAGTTAACTGGTCAAATTCCAGCTGCCATTTCAAACTTAACTGGTCTCATTGTGCTGGATCTTTGGTCAAACCAATTTCTTAGTGCAATTCCAGGACCACACTGATGATGCTAGAGAATCTCCAGTGGCTTAAACTCAGTAGAAACAGCTTGTCTGGCTCCATGCCTTCAAACATTGCAATGCTGAAGAATGTGGTCAAGCTATTCCTTCCAAGCAACCAATTCTCCGGCACCATACCCAAGGGCATCGGCAACCTAGCAACCTAGAGTTCCTAGTGTTATCAAACAACCAATTAACATCCACTGTACCACCAAGCCTATTTCATCTTGAGAGCCTCATCAGGCTAGACCTATCTCAAAATCTGTTGAGTGTTGTGTTACCAGTTGATATAGGCTATATGAAGCAAATTTATGTCATGGATCTCTCTACCAACAACTTTGTTGGTGCCTCCCAGATTCGATAGAACAGCTCCAGAATCCAGATGATAGCCTACTTGAACCTGTCACACAATTCATTCGGCGATTCGATTCCACAGTCTTTTCAGAAACTGGCCAACCTGCAAATTTTGGACCTGTCCCATAACGGTATATCTGGAACCATCCCAGAATACCTGTAAAACTTTACCATCGTCATTATCTTGAACCTGTCTTACAATAAACTACATGGTCAGATACCAGAAGGTGGTGTGTTCTCAAACATCACGCTGGAATCACTGATGGGGAACGCAGGGCTCTGTGGTGCTTCACGCTTGGGATTTCCACCATGTCCAGCCAAGTCTCACACAACCAGTGGTCATGGTCACAAGATGAGATTTTTGCTCCCCACTATAATCATAATAATACTTGCAGCTCTGGCATGCTTCCTATACGTTACTCTCTCTGTCCTTAAATAAATAGATTTCTGGAGTTGTCTTAAGTCAAAATTTTCAAACTTTGACCGAATTTCTAGAAAAAAACGTTAAGATTTATGGTATCAAATTTACATCATTAGATTCACTGTAGAATGTATTTTCATAAGGTGCTCATTTTATGTTATAGATGTTGTTATTCTTTTCTATAAAGTTAGTCAAACTTAAAAAAAATGACTGCCACGGATTCTAGGAATTGATTTATTTAGGGACGGAGGGAGTACGTTCAGAAAGAAAGTCAATAAGCGTGAAGAGATTTCTGCTTGTATGGTCGACATGATCAGCCATCAGTTAGTCTCGCCTCGCACCATGAGCAAGTTCGTGCTACTAACAATTTCAGTGATGACAACATGCTGGGGTCTGGAAGCTTTGGGAAAGTTTTTAAGGGCCAGCTGAGCAACGGTGTGGTGGTTGGAATAAAGGTTATACACGCGCACATGACATGAGAAGCTTTGATGCCGAGTGCGGTGTGCTTCGAATGGCACGACATCGCAATCTGATAAAGGTTCTGAATACATGTTCCAACCTGGACTTCAGAGCACTTGTTCTTCAGTTCAAGCCCAACGGTAGCTTAGAGGCACTCCTGCACTTTGAAGGTAGAAGGCGCCTGGGGCTTCTTGAGAGGTTGGACATCATGCTGGACGTGGCGGCAGCACCGGAGCATAGCAACGTGAGAGGTTGGACTGTTAGTTGATCTCCACCTGGGCCCTTGTATCTGCGCCCTGATCGGGGGTGCCCAACCCTAATATGGTTGGTGGGCCCCTGTCGCACAGCACATATAAAAGAGAGGTGGGGATCATGGCTCGAACTACGAGGTTGGTCTGAGCCGCCATGATCCACCAACAGAAAACCTAATCCGATCTACAGTTGTGCTGCCAGCGACGGGAAGCCCCACCGACTCCGCCGTCGCCGCTGGACCTCGACTCCACCACGCTGGAACCACTGCACCGAGCTGCCGTGTCACCGTCGTCCAAGCCGCTGTGGTGCCATGGACCGAATGGTGACCTAGACCAAGGTACATCAACAGTTTTCTCATCTAAGAAAGAAGCCTACCCCTGATCTACGTCTGAGAGGTACACTGTAATCTAACAATGGTATCAGAGCGAATGTTAAAGTATGGGGTAAAGCATAGAAAAAAAATCAAAGAAAGAACAAGGGTTCAATCCGTTTCGGATTGAAACCCTAACCCTAACCGGGTAAAAGAAAATAGAAAATGGTGGCGGGCGTCACTGAAGTCCCGGTCACCACCGCCACCGCACGGGAAAGCTACCGCACCATCGTCTTCCTCGGCGCGCGGCAAGAAAAGAACATCGGTGTTCGGATCTGAGAAGAGAATAGAAAAGGGGTCTCGGCCCTCCAAGCCAAACCCTAACCCTAACCCCAAAACCCAAATCGGTTCAACTCCGAAAGAAAAGAAAGAAGATCCAAAGAGGAGTACAAAGAAAAGAAGGGGAAAGGAGAAGAGGTAGCAAGGTGGGTTAGACAAACCCTAACCCGCGCAAACAGCTCGGGGAGGAAGAACAGTACGCAACCCTAATCCCCAATCGGCAAAGAACCAAGAAGAAATAGACTAGAAAAGAAAATAATAGAATTAGATCCCTTCGGATCTAAGAAGAATAGAGGGTTCGGTGTAACCCTAACCCTAATTGGGTGAAAGAAAGAAGACGAGGAGGGCTCGGCATGCGATGCCGAACCCTAAAATCCACATAGTCCCTCTAGGGAAGAAGAACAGTGCCCATCCCGAAACCCAAACCCTAACTCGCATGAAGAAGGGGAAGAGAGCGATTCGGTATAAATAGAAAAGAAATCAAATGAAAAGATGAACCGAATCGAACGAATCGAATCGGGAAGAGAAACCCTAACCCTAGATCCCCAAATCGGTTGAATCTGAGAAGAAGCTATGGAAACCCAAAAGAGAAACAAGATCCAAATCGGAGAAGAAGGGGAAAAGGGGGAAGGGGTCTACCTCGTCGTACACCGGGCTAACCCTTCGCCGGCGTGGGAGAAGAGGGCTGAGGCAGGGGGAGATGCTCCCCGGGCTCGGCCAAGGGGGCGCCGCGCCCAGGCCGCTCGACGGCGGCGCGCTCACCCGCTAGGGAGCGCGCGCGCCGGCAAGGGTGCCGACGACGGCGCTATGGCTCTGCCGTCCTCGCTGGCTCTCGCTCGGTGTCATGGCTGCACTGAGAGAGGAGAGGAGAGCGGTGAAGAGAGAGAGAGCAAAGGGCCGAATGGCCGCTAGGGTTCGTGAGGAGGCCGGCGTCGGCGGTTTTGATCACCCGATCTCACCGCTCGGCCGTCCGATTGAAATGAACGGCGTCGGTTGATTGGGCTGGCTTTCAGCCCAGGCGGGCGCGAGCGCCAGGCCATTTTCCCGGCCTAGGCCCAGGTTGCGGCCTGGGCGCGGGGGAGAGCATGGGACAGTGCGCGCGGGGGCGGGGGCCGTGGGCCGCTTTGCCGGTTGGGCCGAAAATAGTGACAGAAATGAATCATTTTTCCTTTTTCCTTTTCCAGTAAATGTTTATTTCCTGGAAATTAATTAATGGCTTAAAGAAAATAGAAAAGAGATGTTTTCCGTGTGGGTAAAATTCAAGAAAAAGAGAGTTTTCCGCTGCTAAAGAAATTGTTTATTCTCCAGTTATTTTGAACCAAAGTGATATTTAATTGGAGAAAAATAGACTTTGATATGATTATGATGTTGTTATTTTCTGACCAACGTTGTTAATAACAATATCGTAATTTTAATAATTTTATGCATTAATTCTATTTCTGCCCAACGGTGATGTAGAGTTAGTGTATAAAAACAGTTGTATAATTGGAGAAAAAGAGATTTTAAAATGATTATGATGTTGTTATTTTCTGACCAACGTTGTTAATAACAATATCGTAAAAGTTAATGATTTATGTATTATTTCTATTTCTGCCCAACGGTGATGTAGATTTAATGTATAAGAACAATTGTATGTTTTGATTTTGACCAATGTTGGAATCAAGGCATGCAATTGTTGTTATTTTTTATGTTAAGAAAAGGAATGACCTAGCCTTCATCTTGGCTGAGGAGGACTGGGTAGTCACCTCACCGTGTCTCACTGATCCTGTGGCACCGGTGACGGAGACAAACGAGGCTAATGCCGCTTAGACAACAAAAGAGAGGGATTTTGAATCTCAAAAGATGTCCTATGACCTTGAGCATAGGAAGTGGATCACTGCCAACAAGAAATGTTTGGCTGTGATAAAGAACACGATTGAGCCTGCAATTGTGGGCTCAATCCCAGAGTGTGACACGATCACCGAGTACCTTGATAGAATAAAGAGTCAGTTCACTGGCTCTTCAAAGACATATGCTACCCAGCTAATAAAGCAGCTGGTGACAGAGAGTTACTTTGGAAATGGTGGCATAAGAGAGCTCACGATGCGTCGTCGAAATTATGGCACCGTCGTTTAGGCCATATTTCGAGGGGGAGAATAGAAAGACTAGTTAAGAATGATATTCTTCCTCCATTTGAGCTCTCAGTTTTAGAATAATGCAGAGAATGCATAAAAGAAAAGTATGTAAAGAAAATTAAGAAAGATGTCAAACGAAGCGTAGGAATTTTACAGATTATTCAAATAGACATCTGTTGTCTATTTTCCTGTAAAGAGTATGGATGGTTATGATTCGTTCATAACATTCACAGATGATTACTCCCATTATGGCTACATTTATCCAATCAAAGAAAGAACAGAAGCATTGGATAAATTTAAGAGATTTAAGGCAGAAGTTGAAGAACAACACAATTTAAAGATTAAGATAGTTAGGTCCGACCGTGGGGGAGTACTACGGTCAGCATACCCCATATGGCCAAGTTCCTGGACCCTTTATAAGATTCTTACAGGAGAATGGCATAGTAGCCCAGTATTCTACACCGGGCGAACCTCAGCAGAATGGCGTAGCTGAAAGACGAGCATGTGGATGGATGTGTTAAAAACCGTCATTCATATTCTCAATAGAGTACCAAGTAAGTCGGTGGCCAAAACACCGTATGAGTTGTGGACAAGAAGAGTACCCTCACTAAACCACTTACGTGTGTGGGGGGAGTCATGCTGAGGCTAAAGTATTTAACCCAAACATTTGGAAGCTAGATCCCAAAACACTAAGTTGTCATTTCACTGGCTACCCAGAAAAGTCAAAAGGTTTTTATTTCTACTGTCCAGTCAGACA